CACCTTGGTAAAACCACAACTTTCTCCCTCCTCCTCCACCTCCTCCACCTCCTCCTCCTCCTCCTGCTCTGGCGAGCTTGCAGGGATCGCGCGGGAGTCGTGCAGGGCGGAGCCGCTCGACCCCCCATGTGGATGCAAAGGCAGGGCGATCAGATAGGTGGGAGCACGGTGGGCTGGTGCGGAAGGGGGAACGAGGGGGCGGGGGGGGGGAAGAGGACGAGACGAGGAGACGAGGACGAGAAGCTGGAGCCGACGATGAGTACGGGGAAGACGAGGAGGAAGAGGAGAAGGAGGACGAGGAGACGCATACTCTGTATCTACATGTTTGTCCAAATTCCCTCCGCCATCCTATTGTCCTGCTGTCCTGTTGCGCTTGTCGATCTCGTTGGTATCGTTTGGTGTTCGCTTTATACACGGCGATCGCTCGATCAACGTCGATGTAAATAAGCAGGAGGAGCTATTGAAGAGATGGATGATGATGATGATGATGATGATGATGATGATGAGGAGGAGGAGGAGGAGGAGGAGGAGGAGGAGGAGGAGGAGGAGGAGGATGATGATGATGATGATGAGGAGGAGGAGGAGGAGGAGGAGGAGGATGAGGAGGAGGAGCAGCAAGAGAATGAGGATGTGTGTGTGTGTGCGTGTGCGTTTTGAGGTACTGAGGACGCAGCCGCCCCCCTTCACAAGGTTGATTGCAGATGACGGCAGCACAACGGACATCGTTTTTGCACAGGGGGTGTGCACGTGACAAGCCATGCCTTGCCTCTTCATCGCTTCTGCACCTGCGTTACTTAAGTCAACCCGCACAGTAAGGATGGGCGACCTTCCCAAGGGTACCCTTGCATCCTTGCATCCTCGGTCCATCCTTCGCCACTTTCGTTGGCCGCGCCCCGCTCGAAAAGCTTGGACGTGGCCTTCCAAGGCCCTTGTATACTTATCGCGCGTCCTTATGATACGGGTATCTGAGCAGACGAACATGCCGTAGCGAGGGCTATGGTTTCTGTCAGCTGTGCCTTTTAAGCCCAGTGGATCTGGGATCGCTTGGTAGGTCGTTCTCTTCAGCCGTGCTTGTGTATGTGGGTACACTCGCGACAACGGCTTGACGGAGCGGTTATGGGCGGCGTATAGCGGAGGAGCATGGAGGAGGACGGATAAGTCTGATAAGGTATGTTCTTGTTCTTGGCAAGTCCCGCCACCACGCCAGCGTAGCATCGATATTGTTCTGGGATTTGCGTCCTCCCGAGGAGGAAGCCGTGGAGCCGTGTGAGAACCGTCTGGTATTGATTTGGTTGGCCCAGAAGGGGGTCCAGCTACAAGGGGGTGGTGCAGTAGATCTGGTGCAATAGATTTTGTGGGTCGCAATAAATTTGGTTCGTGCAGTACATTCCGGGGCGCAGATGTACTGCTGGATTTTCGCGTGCAAGACATTCGATGCAACACAGTGCAATACAATTCCCTGGAGCAATACATGTGCAATACACGTGCCCCAAACCTATTGCACTGCCCCCTTTCAGCTGGACCACTTTTTTCGGTTAACTAAAATTGACTCGGCGCAACAACCGGACTCATTTGGCCCAGTCTCAGCGGTGAGAAGGAGAAGTGAGAAGGACCAGGCCTTCTCAGAAGGTGGCGGGGCTTCTCAGAAGCCCTGGTGCCTTCTGAGAAGAGTTCTGCGTCTTCGGGAAAGGCCTCGAACATTTTTCAGAAGGCCAGTGGCTTCCCGAGTTTTCCGAGAAGGCCCGCCCCTCGCGACTTCCCCCCAGGCGCGCCGCCGACATTCAGGAGTCGCTTCTGGTGGCTATTTGTGATGTCTTGAGCCAGTCTTGGGCCGTCTTTGGGGCCGCGTGGGGCGTTTGGGGTGTCCGGGGGGCCGCTTCGGGAGCGGCTGGGGGTATTTTTGAGTGCCTCGTGATTCTTTTGGCGAAGGAGAGCGCGACTCTGAGCAAGCAGCCGTGCTTCTTGCTTCCCAGAGGCCCAGCGGAGAGCCTCGGGGCATCCTGGGGGACTCCAGAGCCGCCTCTTGGAGTCCTCCCTCGGAGCTTCACCCTCTGCTGCTGCAGCTCCCTTGCGCTCTCCCGGAGGCGCGGGGAGGGTGCACGTGTACGTTTCTGGCTTAGTTCCAGGAACGACGCCCACGCACCAGCGGTAGACTCGAAGAAGACAGAACGCCACAAACATGAACTTTTGGCGCTCCGCGCAGATTTCTTGGATCTGCGCTGGGACCCCCCTGGCGGTGCCTCCAGCGCCGCCCCTGACGCGCTCCGCGCTCCATCGCGGATCCAAGAAATCCGCGCGGAGCGCCAAAAGTTTGTGTTTATGGCGTTCTTTCTTCTCCTAGAAAAAAATCGTTATCCTCCGCACTTCTCCCCCGTGGCGCCCCTGCTCGGCCCCACGAGAAGGGCCACGGCGCTCACGAAAGACGCCCCGACCAAATGCCCGAGAAGCGGCCTCGGGGGATCCGCCCATCGCGGCCCGAAGGACCCCGCTAGGCAGCATCCTCGCACGCCCCGGCGCGTCGGGCGGCACGGCCGTCGTCGTCGTCGTCGTCGTCGCCGTCATTCTGCCCCTCTTGCTGCCCCTCCCGCTCCCTCCTCGTCGTCGTGGTCGTCGTCGTCGTCCTCTGGTGGATGGCCCGGCCCTGGCAGGAAGCAGGGCGGTACGCCGAAGCCTTCGAGGCCTGGCGCTCGGCCCCATGGGAGGCACGGTGCCGGCTCGTGCGCGCAGGAGCCGGCGGCGGGCGGTGCGTGCGGTGTGCAGTCGGGACGCACCCGTGCTGATTTTGCGGGACGGTGGCGCGCAGCGTGCTCGCGATCTGCGGGAGCGCTCCGTGTCCAAAAAGGAGGCTTGCTCGCGGCGCCCTGCACGCCATGTGTTCCATCTTGAGCGCGCGCGCGCTCTCTCTTTGTTTTTCTCTCTCTCTCTCTCTCGTTTTGTGTGTTTCTCTGTCTTTCTCTCTCTCTCTCTATCCCTCTCCCTCTCTATGTATATGTATGTCCCTCCCTCCCTACATGCGTACCTACCTACCTCCCCCCTTTCTGCCGCTCTGTTTCTCTCTTCCTCTCTCTATCTCTCTTTCCCTCTGTCTTTCTGTCTCACTATTTCTCTCTCTCTCTCTCTCTTGCTCTCGTTCTCTCTCTCTCTCTCTGTCTGTCTGTCTGTCTCTCTCTCTCTCTCTCTGGTCTCTGAAGACGCATGACGCAGCAAGCCTCCATTGAGTCTATGAGATGCTGCCCTTTCCAAGCTGTTGCAGACGCGCTGCTGTTGCAGACGCGCTGCGGCCGATGCGACGGCGGCGAAGTGGCTGCGTGTGGCACTCAAGCTTCGGCCAAGACGGGGAGCGACAGGGGGAGTGATTCGGTCGAGAACTTTTGGATAGCGTGTCGCTCCGCCAGTTCTGGCCCACCACGCTTCGGCGCGACACGCTATCCAGTTCCCAGTCCCCAGACTTCAACGTCCCGAGCCTTTCGAAGCCTCGCGCCCCGCGGAGCGGAGCGACGTGCTATCTGCTCGCAAGGCATAGCTTGTCGCCAGAGCCGCCGCAGCGACACGCTGGGCAAAAGTTCCAACCGTAACCCCTTCGGCACGTCTCTGCCGCCATTCGGCCACGCTGGAGGCCAAGCGAAGCAACGCTTTCGCGTTCGCCCTGCGAGCCTCGGCAGTGCAGCGATGTCTTTCAGGGTTTACTCATTGACGCATCTTGTGTTTCTTCTGGTCCTCCTCCCCACCTTCCCTTCGTGGCCCCCTCCTCCCCCTTTTCCTCCCCATCCTTCATTTTCCTCCCCCTCAGGAATGGCAGCCACGTTGATCCGCAGCGTTGATGTCCCAGGAATCACGTTTTCAGACGATTGAGGATTGTCATGCCGTTGTTCTTTAAACGGACGCTTCCCACATTGAGTATGTTGTATGTATAAAAAATAGAGAGAGAGAAAAAGAGACATACATACGTACATACAGACGTACGTACATACGTACATACGTACATGCATACATACATACATGCATGCATACATACATACATACAAACAAACATACATACATACATGCATGCATACATACACACATACATACATATAGACATGAATATATACACAAATGCATAAATCCATCAATCCATCCATACATACATACATGCATGCATGCATGCACAAACAACTACGCACCTACCTGCATACACTCATCCATGCATACACACATACAAACATTCAAACACACATTTGTATATAAATGTGTATATATACACATGCATGCATGCATGCATGCATGCACACACATACGTACATACATGCTCACGTGCATGCCATACATACATACATACAGGAATTCCCGAAAATGGAACTTGGAGCGAGGGTTTATTGAGACGTCGTTGATGCTTCCTGGGTTTACACTGGTCCTCCTTTTCCCCCCTTCCATCTTCCTCCCCTCTCCTCCCCTCTCCTCCCCTCTCCTCCCCCTCCTCTCCCCTCCCCTCCCCTCTGCTCTCTCCTCCCCTCCCCTCCCTCCCCTCCCCTCCCTCTCTCTCTCTCTCCCCTCTCCCTCCTCCTCCCTCTTCCTCGCTCTCCCTCCTCCCTCCTGTCCCCCTCCCCACCTCCCCGCGGCGAGGCGGCTCTCAAGCAAGGGGCCGCGCGCCGCCACGCCCCTCACCCCCACTCTGCCGCCCCCGGCGAGGCAGCCCACCGCCACTGCCGTCGTCGCTGCCTTCGCTCGGACGGGGCTCGGGCGAGGCTATAAACCTTTTCCAGGCCGTTCCCGAAGGCTCTCAGAGCGTTCCGAAGCGCTATGAGAAGGCCGCGGCGCCCGATGCATCCTCCAGGGCCGCGGGATCTCAGAGATCCCCGATGTATCCTCACCCGATTTGATCCTCGTCCTGGCTTCGTCTTACTTCGTGGGCACCAAGAATGTTTGACCACCGCCGGATAACTGCTCGGTTGATCCCACGTGCCGCCGACAACCGACGAGGACGCAGACGCGCCTGGACGCTGATTCACAGGCCTTCGTGGCCCCCCTCAGATGGCCAACCACTGGAGCATGAGCGACCGCGTTGGATAAGGAAGCACAAGGCCTGACCGCATCAGAGCGAGAGCGAATACACCGAGTGCTCGCATCGAGAAAGGTATGACAACGACAATGAAAAAGATCATCTTGACAACCCGAAGTGTCCG